ATACACTACAAGCCTGCCCCCTGGTCATCAGCACACAGCCCCTCTCCGGGTCTAGAGTTCCCAGCTGTTCCATCTCTCCACATCATCATGCCTCCATCTCTGGCATCACTGCTTCTCTGGGTAGGGTCCCACACTCCAGTCTTCTCCCTTGATGGTCCCAGCGTCCTCCACTCCTCTACTGAAAAGCCAAGCACTCTCCTCCTTTTGCTACAAAACGTCTACCTTTACATTCCCAACCCTCACAATCAGTCCTGATAGCAATTATTCACTATTGTACCACATGAGTCCTATCCCCATGTCTTTTCATCAGCTCTGCCCAGACAGATTGCAAACTACTCAGTTGAGATTCTACCTTCCTTCATGCCATTTGGACCTAGGCTCCCTCTTGAAAGCCAGTCACTTCTTGCCTTTGTAGCCCCCTCATTTTGGGTAGCCAATGTCCAAGTTGCCCATCTCTGTCTACCCTGTGTACTGCGGGGGGAGGGGAGGTAGGGTTAGGAATGATACTCTCAGTAAAGCTTTGTTCCCTCTTTTGAGCTACTGCATCTATAGGTGTATAGGTGAAATTCATCAAATTGTATCAGATTATTGTTTTTTTACTCTTCTTTCTTCTAGTTGAGCTCTGATCATTCAGTCATTGAAGCCAGGTCTAGTGGGTATTATTTGCAAGTGTGGGTGTTCTTGTGCATATGCCCTCTCTTCTTATCAGCTGGACTCTTCACTCTCCACTCTAGTCCTCTGTGGCTATGTCACTGACTCCGGGCCCAAGAGTCCCCAGGTCTTGCTATACTGCTGACCAACCAGGAACGTGGTAGGGCTTAGCTAGCAGCTTCATTGCTGTTTTTCCCTCACTTCCCCTTATCGGTGACCAATGTGGTCAGAGCGTATGTCTGCTTGTGTTAAGACTTAGTCGTGGAGAGGGGTTTGCCCTGGGGGGACCCGACCACTTGCCTTGATGTGTCCTGGGCAAGCAACTTGATGGTAGTGTAGTAATCAATCGGACTACTGTAATTGTTTTGCATTTTTCCTGTTGGTCTTTCTTTCAAGAAGTATCTTCTGTTCTTCTAGCCACTCCAGGCTGGTTTGCGTGTCCTTTCAAGTGGAAATTTCCTACCTCAGAAGATTCTGTATGGGGCTCAGGATTTCACCTACGGTCTTACGTAATGCAGAAGCTCCACAGGAAGCCTCCTTCACTGGGCACACTGTAGCCCCATTTTAGGTATTCAATCAGTTACAAGCAGAAGACGGACTTACAAGCTTTCTATGGTGATATTTCTGGTTATTCCTTTCTCTCCACCTCAAGTGTCTATTTTATAATGGTATGCCAAGGAAACCAAGATTCAAAAGACAGCCAAGCATCTTAACATTGTTTCCCTCCTTTTGCCCATTCCAACCACGTATCAATCCATGTATCCCAAAGCCCTGTTGTTCCAAGATTATGCATACACCATTATTTACCTCTGTCCCACTTAGCCCATGTAAACCTGCCTAATTGTTCTTCCATCTGCCTTGTTCTTCCATTCCCCTCCCACTTCTTGTGTATTGCCCCCCTCTCCAGCACCCAAACTATCCGTGTCTATTCCCTACCCTGTGCTCCACCTTCCTCTCCCTCCCCTCACCCTCCCCCCTACATCACGGTAACCAGCAGACTCCGCCCCCCCTTTAGTATGGGTTCTTTTTCTTAGTCTTTTACAATAGTGGTCCTATGCAGTATTTCTCCTTTTGTGACTGACCTATTTCATTCAACATAATGTCCTCAAGGTTCATCCATGTTATGCGGTGGCTTGCAGCTTCCTTGTTATTCTTCAATGTAGCAAAATATTCTATTGTGTGTATGTACCACAGTTTATCCATTCTTCCGTTGATGGGTAATTAAACTGTTTTCATCTTTTTGCTACTGTAAATAGTGTTGCCATGAACATTGGTGTGCATATATCTACTTGTGTATTTCTTGTGGGTAAGTATCAAGTAGAGGAATTGCTGGATCATAAGGTATTTCTATTTCCATCCTTCTGAGGAAACACCATATTGCTTTCCAGAGAGGTTGGACTATTTTGCAGTCCCAC